GGGGACGAGCAGCTCTCCGAGCTTGGGTGTATGGCTGTGGGAGGTGCCCAAGCCAGGGCTGGGGGTACAGGAGGTGCAGGAGGTGCCCGAGCTGGGGCTGGGGGTGCAGGAGGTGCCCAAGCCAGGGCTGGGAGTACAGGAGGTGCAGGAGGTGCCCGAGCTGGGGCTGCAGGAGGTGCCTAAGACAGGACTGGGGATGCAGGAGGTGCAGGGGATGCCCAGGTGGGGCTGGGGGTGCAGAAGGTGCCTGAGCCAGGGCTGGGGGTGGAGAGGTGCAGGAGGTGCCCAAGCCAGGGCTGGGGGTGCAAGAGGTGCCCAAGCCAGGAGCAGTTGATTTTCCACCGGTGAAAACAACATGCCCAAGGTGAGCGTTATCCCTCTGAGAGCAAATATGGGGCAATGGGAGCACCTTTGCATGCACCAAACCGCCTTCCCAGGTCAACGGTGCCATTAGCTCTGTCAACATGCTGCAAAATACACCCGGGACCTGAGCCGGGGGGAGAAACCTGCCCATGGCTGCAGGCAGCGAGCTGGGATCGTGCCGTGCTCCCTGCACGTCCCCTCTCTGCCCAGGGCCGGTGTATGAAGCTGCTGCCAGTGGGCGCTGGGGACGGCGCAGAGGTTGGCACAGTGAGCGTGTCCCTTTTCTTGCTGGGACACGAGGAGCAGGAAAGCAAGAAGCAAAACGTGCACTTCGGGTGTGCTTTCCTGCCTGTTTGCTGCCTTTAATTGCCCCAAGCTGGCAGCTGTGGAGGGGACACTTAGGGGGCAGCTCTACCCCAGGGGCTGTGGGGCATTAGCAGGAGAGGGACCAAGATGCTAATTATGGGAAGGTTTTGATGCCTGGTTTGCAGCTGGCTCCCGCTGCTGTCGCACTGCTGACGGCGGCTCCTGGAGCCCCGTTTGGGTCCTTCGATACCCAGGGGTTCGGTCATAGTGCCATGGGTGCTTTCACGGCACCTTTCATCTTGGGAGCACCATGGGAGGTGGATAAAAGCTGCGGCTGGAGCTCAGCACCCCGCGGAGACGGGAGTGCCGGGGGCTAAGCCTGAGTCTTGGCACGACAGGGTGCCCGTGTCTCCGCTGGCAGGTCCTCGGAGGTGCCAAGAACGAGGTGCCAGCTCTGCGAGAGCCCGCTCCATCCTGCAGCCCCTGGGCACCAGGACATGTGGCCAGTGCTGTGCCGTGCCGTGCCCCGCCGTGCCGTGGGTCTCGTTGGGTGGGTCTGTGGGGCCAGCCCTCCCCTGCGGGCACCAGCCCTGGGGGGGGACCTCGCGTTTGCTGTCACTGCTGGGGCTGAGCTGCTGGGGAAGGTGGGGACAGGGCTGTTGCATCCCAGCCTCCCACAGCCCAGCTCAGCCTGGGGCTGTGGCAGCGGGGACAGCAGTTTTGAGTTCTTTCATGCTGAATCCATAGGATGCTCCGAGTGTGCTTGTTCCTGCCCCGGGGGAGGGAGTTTTGCTTTTACGACTTGTCAGATGCAGCGGTGCTGGCACCAGTTAGGGGAGGACATGCCAGCTTTGTCACTGCAGCGAGCCTCAGCTGGGCCTGTCCGAGGGTCGCAGTGCTTTGCAGCGCAATGCAATGCAACGCAACGCAACACTTTGCAATGCAACGCAACGCAACACTTTGCAACGCAACGCAACACGCTGCAACACGGTGCGATGCTTTGCAATGCAGTGCACCACAACGCATCGCTTCCCCGCTGCAGGCTGAGGTGTGACACCCAGCCCGATCCCCCCTTGCTCTTCCCCAGGCCGTGATGATGCAGGATCTGAGCCCGAGCTGCGGGATCACGCATGCCCCGTCCCCCTGGGGCTGCAGGCGAGCTCCTTGCCAGGCGACACCGGCTGCCCGGCGGTCTTTTGCCAGACCCTTTACCTAATTCCAAGCGAGGTGTTTCCCAAGTGAGCCCTGCCTCGCTGTTGAGCCAGATGACATTTAAAAAGCCCTGTAGTAGCTTGAATTTCCTAACCTGCCTCTCAGAGTAATTGTCTTTTTTTCCCCTACAGTTGTTATGACAATAGTTTAGCTGTGTGGAATTGCTTTAACCTCTCCCCTTAATTGGCTCCTCCCTGCCAGGGCCCCCTCTTTTGCTGCTGCAAACCTTGATTAGCTCGGCTGTACGAGGGAGCGAGCTGACGGCGGGGGTTTGTCAGGCAATCGTACCCTTTTTGCATTTTTATGCTCATTTAAAAAGCGAGGCTCGGGAAGAGCCGACAGTTTTCAAGGGTTTACGGATGCTCCCTCGCACCACCGAGCTGGAAGCCTGTCTGTCTCCCTTTGACTCAATCTGCCGGCGCTGAGAGCCGACGGCACGGGGCGGGCATGGTGCTGCGCGGCAGCACACGTGGAAAAAATCTGTAGTGCCTAAATACAGCCCCACGGCTGGGCTGGGGTGGCGGGAGGCAGCACCAGGACTTCCCTGGGGAGCCCCATGTCACCCACGTGTCCCCCCGTGTCCCCCAGCCCAGGGCAGCCTCAGCCTCCTCCGGCTGAGGTGCCGGTAAAACGATGAGGAAGGTGCTTTTCTGGGGAAGCAAGGCGGTGGGTTTGGGTTGGATTTGCATAGAAATGGCGCGTACAGATGTGGGATTGCGTTAAGTGTTCGAGCACTCGGGCTTTGACTCCGGTTTCTTTTTCCCCGCTGTTTATTTTATGGCCATGGCTGGGAGTTGCAGCTCCCGGTTGCTGCGCAGGCAAGCGCGGGTCCTGCCAGTGCTTCCGATGCTCCCAGCCCCGGTGCTCTCTGCCCCGCACGCTGCCGCCCCGCCGCCGTGCGACTCACGCCCCGGGGGCCCAGCTGCAGGAGCGGGCAGCGA